GATTGCTCAGAGTAGGTCCCAGCTAGGTGACAAAAGAAATGCAGTCTAGAGAGCTGCCGCGTGTTCAATGAGCAGAGAAATATGTTTGAATATTCTATACACCCACCTGGAGTCCCTGGGTATGCAAACAGTAAATGCACTTGGCTGCTAACCGAAAGACTGGAGGCTTGAGACGATACAGAGGCACCTTGGAAGAAAGGCCTGGACATCTACTTCCAAAAAATCAGCCATTGAAAACCGTATGGGGCACAGTTCTACTCTGACACACATGGGTGGCCTTCAGTTGAAATCAACTCACTAGCAACTGGTTATATTCCCACCTTATTGTTTGGCTGATGAATAAGACAGAGTGTTATAGGGAATGGCCTATACCACTAAAATTAGTCATAGTAGCACCATCCCATGCATGACAGTCAAACTAGTTGATCTTATATAGGGAAGCCTTTACTGAATCTTGTCAATTAAATTTCAGTACACAGTCGGGTTATTTTTCTATTCTCTACTGGACAAATTAGATAAGCTATCGTTATTGCCAAGTTCAGAAGAAAGGTTTCCTATTTAACCAAACTAGAATTTTTTATAATGGTTAAGCAGATTGTTCAATAGATATACATGTTAATAATAGGGCTTGTTTTTAAACAGAGGGAATCCTGGTGGCCCAGTGGTTAAGAGCTCGGCCGCTGACCAAAAGACTGGCAGTTCGAATCCACCAGCTGCTCCTTGGAAACCCTATGGGCCAGTTCTACTCTGTCTTATAGGGTCTCTTTTAGTTGGAATTGACTTGACGGCAAAGGTTTTTTTTTTTTTTGGTTTTTTTATAGATACAAAGTAGGAGGTTTTAGGATTATCCTGTAAACATATTTCTTCACCTCCTAGTGATCTGCTTTTGCACTTAAAATTCCACTTTAGAGAGCTGTCCTGTTGTTACAGAATAAGAACTTGGAGAGAAGTTGTCTGCAACTGTCTGCAAACCTGAAACCATGCTAGATCTGGAACCTGGAGATCTTGGCTCTGGAGTGCTGTTGGGCTCAGGGGACACAGGGAGGATGCCACCTCTGTAGTCTGTTTTCAACTCAAAGTCTGGGAATGGGGTCATGAGTGTCAAAGAAGGAAAGAGGATGACTAAAAATATTGTCAGATTCAGAATTTTGTCTAGGGCTGTCAATGTTCATAACTATGAACAACATTGAGTTCCCACCATGTGGTGGGTTAGAGGTCAGAGAATGGTCATATGGACTCAGTATAAGAAGATGAGCTTTGTTTTTTTTTTTTTTTTTTTTTTTTTTTTTTTTTGCTTTGTTTGGTTTTTGCTTAGTGATTTAAAAAATTGGAATTAGTTGTCAACATTTATAAGTTGAGAAATTTCTAATTAAAATTTGCATTTGCAGTCTCTCTAGACAGGGTGGAACATCTGGCAGCATTTGACCTACAGCCCCACGTGGCAGTGATTAGCTGGAGCTAGTGGCTGCTGGTCTCTTTAAACAGGGCTTGCATGCTCCTCCTTTATGTTGTTTACCTGGCTTCCATTAGCATTGGAATTTACCAACCACAATGATAAATGCTTTACATATCTCAACTAATTTAATTTTTACAATCTAGTGATAAAAGTATTTTCCTTATTTTATACATGAGCAAACTCTGAGACTCAGAGATGTTAAATAACTGAGATCACACACAGTAAGTAGCAGAGTTATGATTTGAATTCAGGGGTATTAACTATAAAACCAATGCTCCTTGAAGTACAATATGCTGATTTTCCTATTAGTGTATATTATTATTATTTGGAGTAGATCACAATTGCATTTTTTGACTGTTACTTTTTACATCTAAAATACGGAATAGTTTTAAGCATATGTATTCATTTCCTACTGCTGCTGTAACAAATTGCCACAAATTTAGCAGCTTAAAGCAACACAAGTTGATTCTCTTACAGTTCTAGAGGCCAAAAGTCTACAATGGGTCTGCAGGGCTGGTTCCTTCTGGATAATTTTGGGGAGAATCTGTTTCCTTGTCTTTTCCAGCTTCTAGAAACTATTGACATTTCTTGGCTAGTCGCCTCTTCCCCCGTCTTCAGAGCACATCACTCCAATCCCTGCTTTCATCATCCCATCTCCTTCTTCTGCCTTTGACTCTCTTGCCTCCCCTTATAAGGACCCCTGTGATTACATTGGGCTCATCTGGATAGTTCAGGATAATCCTTTTATTTTAAGATCCTTAACTTAATCACATCAGCAAGGTCCCTTTTGCCACATATGGTAACATATTACAGGTTTTAGGAATTAGGATGTGGCCATCTTTGGGGACCATTTTCAGTCTACCACACTATACTAACTACGGGTACCCAATTTTGACCTGTTTCCACACAAATAAGGTCACTTTAAAGCATCATAAACCATCTAAGTCATTTACATATCCTCTACTGGTACCAAAACATTTATTTCAAGAAGCATTTAATGTGCTATAAGCGAAGTGGAAATCTAAGAAAGATGATTATAATCAAAAGAGGACATTAGCAACTTATCTTTATTTGAATCTAAAACGTGTTACATTCTTCGTTTCCATGGCAGATATAAATTAAACCATGCTCTGCAGAAGATAAGAGTTCTATAATCAGAAATCAACATCTGCAGATATTATGACATTGCACCTGCATGCTTTGAAGTGAAAACAAAAATACCAAGCACATATAAGAGGCTATCTTTAAACACTAATAATTTTGGTTTTTTCAAGACCAAATATCTTAAATATAACTCTTACTCCTATTAAAGTCTTTGAGGACATGCTAAGTCTGCAGATTTAAATGAAACTATTTTTCCTTCCCACTCAAATGGCTCCTCTGTTAAATGAAACTTCCATAAAAGAAGTTTTTATTACCAGCTATGAAAAATTTAAGCTTACAAACACACTTTTAAAACAAGTATAACAAGGATAAGAATAAACTTGTCATCTCAAAGATGTTAATTCCTGGCTTCATGCCATTATACTTTGAATAAGCTGGATAATTCTGCCGTGTCTTTGTTTGTTTGTTGACTTCACTTGGCGTGTTTAGATCCAGCTTCTACTGTAGAGTGTTTCTTTCTTGCTGTCACCATTTGTCAACCACATTTCATTATATGAAAATTCTTATATGATCTACAAAAGGGTCTTCCTCTCGTTTATAAAAAAATATACATGTTGAACAATGTTCTTCAATTGTTGACAAAAAAGGCTGGAATGCATTTTACTATATCCTATTGATAATGAGTATTACTATCTGGGGAAGTTTTATATATGTAGACTTTTATCAGAAATGGAGCCTTATGATTATTAAATGTTTTTCTTTTTCAGTGACACATTGTACTAAATATTTTAAATCAGGTGATCTGACAATTGGATAGTCAAACTGTAGTCATCAGCTAGGAGGTAATATTATACTACATTCATGGGAGAATAACTTATGCAGGAAATTTCCTTTTCTTTTTTTTTCGTTCTCCTACAAGGAAGTAAATGCTGGCTATCTACTTGAGAGATATTGTTTTGTTATCTTCTTGGCTTAAATGAAAATGCAGAAGAAAAGATAGTTGTGAAAATGCCTTGTCTGTGTGGGAACGAGTATGTATCTCTACGTTCTAATCTGGATAGTAAAAATCCAGACTCTTCAAAATAATACATAAATATATAATACACATACACATATGTACACACGTATGTAAGTAAATAAATGAAGTAAATCAAGAAAAGTAAAGTGAATTTTCTCCACCCTGTTTTTAAAACATTTTATATTGTTGAAAGTGGGAAAGAAGAGACTGTAGAAAAATAAGCCTATGAATTAATTTAGGAAAAACCAGTATTTTTATAATGTTAGCCTCCTAGCTAGAAAAATCTCTCCAATTATTCAAGCTTTATTCTAAATCTCTCAGTTAAATTCAGTTATTTTCTTCATATAGGTCCTATGCATTTCTCTTACACAAAAGCAGATCAAGTATAATGAGAGTTGGGGCCATTTTATTCAAAGTGGTAATTTGATTATGCCAGTTATATTCCTTGCCAGGTATTTTTTTTATTTACAGTCTTGTTTATAATTTGTTTCTTATAATCTTGCTTGTAATTTTCACATATTTCTTTTTTTTTCTTCCTTAGAGATGGAAAATTTTGACTAGTATAAACTTAATTGTGCCTTAAAGTTTTTGTTTAGTAAAAATATAAAGTCATTAAAACCATTATACATAGATTTTGTGTAATATATGAAATGCAAAACATTTATCCTAATTTTGTGGCAATAGCTATTTTTTTATTATTTAATAAAGCATATTCTGTTCTAATGATTCCACTATCATTTTTTTAATCTTCTTTGTCTGGATGTAGCATTTATGCTGGGGAGAAGTAAGAGAGATGACCTAGAAAGGGAGGCTGAGAATAATCCTAAAAAGTCAGGTGGAAAAATTTAGATCTTGTTCTGTAGGCAATTTGGAGGCAGTTAAGGTTCTTGAGCAGAGTTGTGAGATCAGCATGGTGCTTTATAGAACTAATCTGCTAATATTGTATGGGCTGGAGGTAAAGGAGAGAGAGAGGCTGAAATACAGTCCTAGCCAGAACAGACCACTTAGGGAGCGCAGGAGTGTGCAGGCAGGAGTTACTAATAAGGACCTGAACCAGGATGACATAGCCAGAATTGGAAAGGAAGTAGGTTTGAGGGTCTTTATGTGCTTACTTGTCTCTTTCATTCCCTCTAGAATATAAGCTCCATGTTAGCACAGACTTGACCCATATTGTTCACCACTGCATCTCCAGCCCATAGAATGGTCCCTGACACATGGTTAAGTGATTTAAAAGTTTCTATTGAATGGAAGAATGAGTGAATGAATAAATAATGTTTTTGTAAATATTCAGATCTTCTGAAGAGTGACCCTAGGTAATTTACCTAATCAAGGGCAAAGTTGTTTTTTTTTTTAACCAGAAAACACATTTCAGAGAAATTTACATTTACTTTTTAGTTTTTTTTCTACAGATTATTTTCTGACCTTGTATTTTGGTGTGTGGGTCTTCAAATGCGACTGGAGACTTCTTGGTTTTGAGAGATTTCATTTCATTTTTGTTTTCTCCCTTAGAGAAACAAAAAAGAGATTATACATGATGAATTTGCATAAAAATGAATTTGAATGTAAAGTATAACACAGACTTTCTAACTCAATTATCAATCCAATCATTAAAAGTGATCCTTTGTTTATGCTCTACTAAAAATAATTCTTGTACTTAAATTGACATTTTTGACCAAACTGTTGAATAATCATCCTCAACCTCCACAGCTTTTTGGCTACAGGAACCTACTGTTTTCTCCCATTCTATCTGGGACTATTTATTGTGACCCTGGTCAGAATGGTCAGTAGTGGTAGCTGGGCACCATCTAGTTCTTCTGGTCTCAGAATAGATGAGGTCGTGGCTCATGTAGACTTGTGTCTTCTCTAAACTTTTGGTTACCTTTTGCTAGTTTTAATCCTGGTGAATAGAGACCAGTAGTTGTATCTTAGATGGCCACTGGCAAGCTTTTAAGACCCTAGATGCTACTCACTTCCCTAGGATGAAGATCATGATTTTTGTGAACTATGTTATGCCAATTAACCGAGTTGTCCCGTGAGACTATGGTCTTAAGCTTTCAAACCCAGAAAACCAATCATGGCAAGTGTTTGGTTATGTCTGAGGAGTGTCTGTAGTTGTGTCTTCAATAAATATATGTGCCTGCACTCACATATTTATATTTACATGTAGGGTCGCTAAGAGTCGGAATCGACTCAATGGCAACAGGTTTGGTTTTAGTGGTGCAGTAGTCAAGCACTAGGCTGCTAACTGAAAGGTTGGTGGTTTGAACCCACCAGATGCTCTATGGAAGAAAGACGTGGCAGTCTACCTCTGCAAAGATTACAGCTTTGGAAACCCTATGAGGCAGTTCTACTCTGTCCTATAGGGTCGTTATGAGTTGGAATCGACGTGATGGCACCGGGTTTTGGTATTATAGATACTTCTATCTGTTCTCACCTACGTACTCGCCTATACCTACTCATATACCAATATGCCTATACCCATTCATATGTGCTCAAACACTTGTTTTTACTTTGGTTGTGCTGTGCTCACTACATCCACATTCAGTGCCACTTTTCCCATCACCCAAAATAACAAGTCTCTACAGTCTAAAGTGTACTTTTCCCTCCCCACCTCCTCTCCTTAGTAATCACTGATGAGCATTGGTCTTTCCATGTGTATCTATTCTTGTCTTCTTATAAAAGAGGGATCATACAATATGTGTCCTTATATGCCTGACTTATTTCACTTAGCATTATGCCCTCCAGGTCCATCTTTGTTATGTTTCATGGGTTCATCATTGTTTTTTATAGTTGAGTAGTATTTCATTGTATGTATGTACATAGTTTGCTTATCCATTTATCTGCTGATGGATAATTTGATTGTTTCCATTTATTTGCTATTGTGAATAAAGCAGTAATAAACGTTACCTGTGACTGTGGGAGTCTAGAGTAGACTTTCATGGGCTGACCTAGAAACTTATCTTAGATATATCTTTTTTCATCTCTTTGGGAAAATATGTCTGAATTCCAAATAGCTAGCTCTCAGCCAAACTTTTGGAAAATAACCTATTTATGGTTGAGATTTTAAAATTGCATATGGTTCACAGATTATAAAACACTTTTATATACTTTAGTAAGTTGTTCAAGAGTTGTTTATTGAGTGACCTGTGTGCCAGGTATGTTGCTGAAATTTGATACCTGTAGGAACTCAATAAATGTTGAATAAGATATAACCCATATCCTCCAAACTGCTCACAGTCTTGTAGGGGGAACAAACACACAAACATATAAGTGCAAGAAAATGTTATTGATGATGGGACAATATCTGTAGAGGATAGAGATGAGGTATAAAGATTGGATTGGTCAGTTCTGCTGTAGTAGAAGGGAAGGTAGGGAGTGACTGTCAGGGTCTAGAGTAAGTTTTCATGAGCTGATCTAGGAACCTGTCTCAGATAAATGTTTTTTCATCCCTCTGGGAAAATACATCTGAATTCCAAATAGCTAGCTCAGCCAAACTTTTGGAAAAGGTGACTCTTGATTCTACAAAGATGAGACTTAATTTTTCAGATGGACAAGGCATGGAAAACACTGCAGGCAGTGGGTGCAGGGTGAGCAAAAGCATAAATTGTGATTGTAGGTGGAGACCACAGTAAAAGTGGCTAGGTGGGACAGAGTGTGAGGAGATGAGGCTAGCAAAATAGGCAGGGACAAGCACTTTGAGAGTTTTGCACACCATGATAAGAAGTTAAGACATTATAGGCACTGTATCATGGGCACATTTTAAACCGTGAAGTAGATTACTCAGATTTCATTTAAGTCTCTCAGTGACCACGTGTGTTAGGCAAGACAGCTATTATTCTTCTTATGTTATTGCAACAACATATTGCATTGGGCAAATTTGCTGCAAAAGACATCTTTAAAGTCTTAAAAGGCAAAGGTGTCACTTTGAGCCCTAAGGTGTGTCTGACCCAAGCCATGGTATTTCCAATCGCCTCATAGGCATGCAAAGCTGAACAGTGAATAAGGAAGCCTGAAGAAGAATTATGGTGTTGGCAAAAAATACTGAATATACTATGAACTGCCAGAAGAACAAACAAGTCTTTCTTGGAAGAAATACAGCCAGAGTGCTCCTTGGAAACGAGGATGGCGAGACTTCATCTCACATATTTTGGACATGTTGTCAGGAGGGATCAGTCCCTGGAGAAGGACATCATGCTTGGTAAAGCAGAGGGTCAGCAAAAAAGAGGAAGATCCTCATGAGGTGGATTGACACAATGGCTACAACAGTGGACTCAGACATAGCAAGGATTGTGAGGTTTGTGCAGGACTGGGCAGAATTTCGTTCTGTTGTACATAGGGTCGCTCTGAGTCAGAACCAACTCAACAGCACCTAACAACAAAAACTACGTATGTTGTTGAAGAGGAAACTTACAAAGTGTCTAGCTCATATGAACATAGGTAGCAAGTTATGGAAGGAGTCCTGGTGGCACAAACAGTTAAGCACTCAGTTGCTAACTCAGTGGCTCCGGGGAGAAATATTTGCTTCCCTAAAGATTACAGCTAAGAAAAATCCTGTGGGACAGTTCTGCTCTGTCACATGGGGTGACTCAATGGTACCCAACAACAACCACAACAGCAAGTTATGGACCCAGGACTAGTTATAATTTAGTAACAATGTCTTCACACTTTAATCAAATATTCTTGTACCAGGTTATGATGCTACTCATAAACATTTCCACCATAGTCTTTATGTGTACACAAATGTAGATTTATTTGAATAATGTCTTATTCCACGGTAAGAGAGACAGTTTGGATTAGGCTAAGTTTGCAGTTTTTAATTATTTGTTATTGATTAATGTGAATTACCTATGATACTTTGGTTTGTGAATGAACTCATTAAATAACACTTTCAAAAATACAATGTAAATTGATTTATTCATCCCTAGGTATTTTCTTATAGGAGTGAAATTATACTACTTATATTTCAGAAGCTTGCTGTGTAAATGTCATTTTAAAAGGTTATAATCTGTGGGAGAAAATATAGGTTTTAACTTCCTGTCATTTTTAAACATTTAACATAGTCGAAACTGAGGAATAAGTATTCTTCCTAAAACTATATGTTCTTGGAAAAACAGATATAAAGATTTCCCAAGAATGCCTTTTAACATATAATTTGATGCCAGTAGACTTTATGATTAACATCCCTGATTTATATCTGTTGGAAAGGTATGGGATGCACCTAAGAAATGCTCTTGCTTTGCCTAGTCAAAGTACTTTTAAGTATTACTGTTTCTGAAAGAAAGACAACTCTGTAAGAAGTTTCTGCTCTTTTTGCCATCTCTTTAACATCGCTTTAATTAATCCCAAGGGCAAGAGTATCTGGTAGAGTTGGTTTAGCCGATCTTCCTCTTGTTCTGAAGTAGTGTAGCCTAGTGAAGTCAGGCACTGAAGTGAGATAGAACAGGGTTCCAATCCAGGCTCTGCCATTTGTTAACTGTGTGTACGTAGCAAATTATAACAGGACCTGTGGTTGTTGTGAGGATTAAATACAATAGTGCTTGAAAAAAGGCTTAGCGCATTGCTTGGCACATAGTAATTGCAGTGAGCGATTATGCTCTGAAAGAGAATACTATATTACCTGTTTTTATATGCTCCGTGGGAAAATAATCAGGGTAGACAAGGGCTAAACATCACAGTAATGACTTTCCCAGAGAGAAATAGAGCAAGACTCCATGAAGGGAAGTACTCTATTCAATATTCGTGACATTCCACGAATATTTAAACATGTAAATAAATTTAAAGTGTGGGATTATTTATTTTGAGGTAAGAATTAGAAATAAGTCAAGGGTATTCTCTTGAAGCAATGCTAAACAATCCTGCACATCTGTCCACTGCAGAAACAGTCCATGTTAAGCAGAAAAAGAAGGCATTTTTTCCAGGGCCAGTTTTAAGCAATCTCAGTGTTTTCTATCCTCTAGGCTCATTTTAACCTGAATCATTAGACTGTGTTTCCCTGGTCTCTGAATTATACCTGCTTGTACTTTACATCTTTCATCCAACTCTTTTAGATTGGAAAATAATTATTGCTCTAAAAACCTTATGTAGCTCTTTTAGGTAAATCTAGCAAGTAATTCATGAACATTGTTCTATAGATAATTATAAGTGAATACTGCTCATATAATAATCAGTTTGGGCTTAAATTGGTCATACAAAACAAATTATTAATAATAATGGTAATAATAATAATTACCATTTAGGGGGTACCTACTGGTTAACCTGGTGCAATGGTTAGTGCAGCTCTGCTGTTAAGTGAAAGGTTGGAGGTTGGCATTCACCCATAGGTGCCTCTACTTCCATAATATCAGCCATTGAAAACTTTATGGAGCACAGTTCTACCCTGACACACAAGGCATCACCATGAGTAGGAATCAACTAGATGACAACCACCACCACCATCACCAACTATACGCTTTGTATATACTATCTCTAGTTCTTACAACAACCCTACAGAGCAGGTATTACCATCTTCATTTTACAGATGAATAGACTTAGAACTTATGAAAGGATTTATCTAGATCAGGGTTTCTCAACATTGGTGCTACTGAAATTTTGAACTGGACAATTCTATGTTGTGGGTGCTGTCCTGTATATTCTAGGATGCTTAACAGCACCCCTGGCCTTTATCCACTAGAAGCTAGTAGCACCTGTCTTTCAGTTCGACAGCCAAAATTGTCTTCCGATATTGCCAAGCGTCTCCTGAGAGGCAAAACTGCTCCTGGATGAGAACCACAGACCTAGAGAAAATATTGTTAAAAAGTGGTTTACTAAGATCAAAATGCTTGAAATTCTTTGTTGAAACTAAATTACATAACCAATTTAATATTCTAGAAATAATTTCATTTTTGAATGATGGTAGAAGGGAAAATCAGCACTGAGTTTAAATTGTTTTTTCTAAATCCTAATCCAGTCTATTCTGCTTTTAATCAAATATAGACAGAATATATATAAATCAATGAGGATCAGTCCCTGAAGAAAAAACAGCACGTGACCCAAATGGTACCAAGTAAAACCGCCAGTCAAGATTATATATCCTAGAGTTCATTAAAATCCATTGCTAGCCAAGAAATTATGAAATCCACACTGAATCTAGGAACGTAAGGAGCGTACCTGCCTTGTGGATGGCTGAGACTGATTGCTTGGATGAGAATTCTCTTCATTCTCATTGTTCTCTTCTCTCGGCTTTACCTTGTTGAATTTTACTGTCAGCGATTTAAACATCTTCTTTGTCTTTATGACTGTGTCTGGAGGTAAAGACTTCTAGGTACTTTGTTTTTCTTTTCTTTAGTAGACAAGCCAATTAGCTGTGTAATCAGGATTTTGTTCTGGTTAATTCCTGGAGACAACTCCCTAGCTAGTCAGGGCTTTGGCTTAAAAGCAGCAAATTACTTCTGCTTGGGTGATTTGAACTCTGTTTATGAACTATAGAGAATCAAAATGGCCCTGTGAATAATTTGTAAGTAGAGGATTACTAAAAAAACTTCACAGTTAAATTGAATTGTTTAAATGTGATCACGATGCCCACTGGTTTGGTTGTTTTTCTTTCTTTCTAATTATCTGCTACCTATCTCCATCTACCTAATTTTAATGAAAGTAATACATGCAAATTATTAAAAATTAAAAATATGCTCTGAAGTCTTTTTAAAACCAAACGATGGTTTAACTTAGCTAGTAAAAAACATCTGCCTTGAGCATTATGTTCTTTTTAAGATCTGCCTATACGGGATCAAGCTGACAACAGCAACCTGAAAGATTAGATAAGAACTCAGGGGGCAGTGCGTTCATGTTAATGGGGGAGAAACAACTCAGAAAACGAGGGTGAGAATGGTTGCACTACTTGAAGAATGTAATCAATGTGACTGAATTGTACATGCAGAAACTATTGAATTGGTGTACATTCTGCTGTGTATATTCTTAACAACAAAAATAAATAAATTTTAAAAAATATGCATAAGGCCTTGTAAATAGAAATGGTGATGATCATCTCTATCAGCAGTCCTGCCCAGTGGCATAACTACTGTTAAGCTTTCTTTTTCTGTTTTCCTAGCAGTTATTTCAACATTTCTAAAAAGTCTGCTTGCTCTGCTCTTTTTTAAGTAATAGTGTAAATTTGGATCCCAAACCTGTGTGAGGCACAGGCTCAAGATTAAGAGTTGTCAAGGAGGACTTTTTCCCTTTACCCAGAGTCCAGACAAACTTTCTTGTAGTTCTTTCTGTGTCGTTGGGTGGAGTTTTTTGTAGACCACTAAAGGATGCACTTTAAAAAAAAAAATGGAATCGCTTTACTTGCCTACGTTCAAATTAAAACCAAAGTCCTTGAAATAACAAGACCAAAGCCCATCCTTACAGCCAGGGCAGCCTGAGTTAACTCACCAAATACTGTCTGCCCTCTGCATTTCTATGCCTGGGAGTTTCCTTTTTTCTTGAGATCTCAGTTATGATTTTTAAAGTATATTTGCTACAGTTCATTCAGAAAAATTTTTAGATACGTGTAAAGCAAGAAAATATTGTTTGGTTTTATCTCTGTATTACTCAAATCATGAGTTGCTGATTGGTTTTGAAAATAAATTAGATGTTTTAACTTTAGATTCAACTACTTCATCAAAAAGAAACTTATCTGATAGTTGAATACATGGCTTAAGTGGCTGGCAAACATAAAGCTCCTTATTATTATTTTTTTAATTAGTGCAGTTTTTTTTCTTTAAAGTTTCCTTATTTTTGTTAAAAAATTGGTATGCTTTGTTTTAAAAGGCAAAGGTTTTTTTTTGTCTCATTACTGCTTCAGAAATAATTCTGAATAAATTATCAAATATTTATGGGTCATTTTAGGAACTTCTCAGCTAATCTTCTAATTCTATAATTGATTATATCTTTTAACTTAAGAGAAAAACCTCAAAACCAGGTCATGAGAAGCAAAGAGTTAACAGCAGGCCTGTGACTCATTCCCTCCCTATGTAGGACCCTCAGAGAAATAAATGACCTCTAAATCCCTTGTAAACTTGTTAATGGCATTTACTAGTGGAAAGATATCAGGAATTCCCTCTGTATCAAATGTATTTAGTAGGACATTGTGGGTGTGTCTAGATAGCTTATTATAAACAAACTTGGAATTTATGGATTTATGTGGCATGGCTGGCTGGATGGAGGGGGATATGTAAGCTTTGTAAGGGAGTATAAAATGGAGATGTCCCCAAACTGAACTCATTTCCTGTTCACATACTTTGCTCAAAAACTCCTTGTAAATCTGAAACAAAATTTGCTCAGGAAAAAATGGACAGCTTTGAATTTTGGGTTTTTCCTGGAAAACAATGTTTTATCTATGCCTGATAATGGCCTATATTCACTGAATCATTAATAAACTTTGGTATCAGGTAAGATCTAGGAATCTTGGCAGCTTGCTTTGACAATTCAATGCCTAGGATTAACACATCCCCCAAAAAAACAAAAAACAAAACCCAAACCCATTGCAGTCTAGTTGATTCCAACTCATAGTTACCCTGTAGGACAGAGTAGAACTGCCCCATAGGGTTTCCAAGGGGCGGCTGGTAGATTCAAACCACTGATCTTTTGGTTAGTAGCTGAGCTCTTAACCACTGTGTCACCAGAGCTCCAGGCTATACTTCCAGGATTAACACAAGTGAAAAGAAAAGTGATACAGATTTTAATTCAAGCATCTTTTGAAATGACTTAAAATATCTCTGCAACCTGATTTGTCAGTAGAATGGAATTAGCATGAGCATTAACATTACAGATGATACTTCCCCTTTGTCTAGATCAAGAGTCTCAATGTTTGGCAAATGGACAACTGGAAAGAATTCTAAAATGAAATACATGAATTTTGGCTCATTCATCTTCACTTGCCTTGATCTGGAAATGACAGGGTTGTGCAAAATAATCTTTAAGTGTTCTTCTGAATTTAAATTCTGTGATTTTGTGTTGTTCTGCAGAGAAGCTCTCCAACCATCAAAAAGAAGACAAGAGAAGGAAGAGGACTGCTTATTCTGGCTGAAACAACTACTGAGATTTCACCAATAACACTCTAAATTTTTTGTACTGTACTGCTGCAGTAGTGTCTGCCAACGTGAATGAAACAGATTATTCTTCAGTATAAATCTCATTGTTTGTCTAACTGAAACTTCTCAGGGACTCTTTCTGCCCGATGGTAGAATGTTCAAAGTTCCTTGCCTAACTGTTTGGTTTCATCTCCAACCTATACTTCCTCATACAATAAGCTCTTGCTGAAGTGAATTATTTACGGTAACTTGAACTACTTTTCTTTTTCTCACCTCTATCAATGTCTTTGCTAATATGTATTATTCCCCTGCCTGAAATGCTCATTGTTTATCTAGCTTAAGCTGGATATTTCTATCCCCTGTCTCTTCTCTCCTCTTCTCTACCCCCAACAGGCGTACATATAATCCCTTCTTTGTTGTCCCTATTGTACTTTGTGCCAAACACTTCTCTACTTTACCACTTCTCATTTTACAACTCTTTTAAGGTCTGTTTTTCCTATCAGAATATAAACTCCTTTAGAGAAGAGACTACGCCTTGGCCATTTTCATGTCCCTTGTGCTTGGCTCAGTGTGGGGCATTCTAGGTATGCTATGAATGTTTGTTGAATGAATGACAAGAGGATGATGGTTTAGACCATCCTAGCCTTGGATTAAGAATAAAGAATAAAGAGGTGTGAACGATGTCACTGAGAGGCGCTCAACAGAAAAGGATGCCTGTAACTAAAGAATTTGACATATGTAAGATAGCATCAACTCCAACAAAGACCAAAAAATCAGTGTATGATCACATATGGATGGGTATAGGCTTATAGGTATATGAGTAGGTACCAGTGTATACATTTGTGAGAAATGATAGAAGTATCTATAAAAACAAAAAACAAACAAAAAAACCAAACTCATTGCTGTCAAGTCCATTCTGACTCATAGTGACCATATATGATAGAGTAAAACTGCCCCATAGGGTTTCCAAGGAGTAGCTGGTAGATTTGAACTGCTGACCTTTTGGTTAGCAGTGAACTCTTAACCGTATCTATTCTGTATCTATATGTATATGTAAATACAAATATGTGTGTGCAGGCTCATATAGTCATTGAAAACTCAACTACAGATATTCCTTAGACATAAACAAACACTTTTCCAGGTTGGTTTTCAGGTTTGAAAGTTTAGGATCATAATATCATGGGACAACCCAGTCAATTGGCATAATTCATGAAGTTCATGTTCTGCAACCTAGTGAAGTTGTTACTGCAATAGTGTGGATTGGAGCTGCCTGCCGCAATAGCCAATTCTGAGATGGGGTAAGGTGAGCAGCAAGAGTTTTATTATATATCAGTATATACGAGACAGAGGGGAATAGATTCCTCCAAAAACCCGTCTTCTCGACTGGAGACTGGCTGAAGGCTTTATAGGGACACGATTATGAGTCATAGAAGTTTGTGTTAGTTCCTCCTTGAGGTGGTCATGGTGGTCATGTCCCAGATGAGTTAACCTTTTACTGGTATTCTTGAGGGTTATCTGGTGACATCCTGGTTTTCTTGTCACAAGATGGGTGCTTTGTTTGGTTTTTCATTCCTAGATCATTATCACTTGTTTTCCATCCTCCAAGGAGAACATCGGTTAATCTCAAACTTTTTATAGAGACTGAAACGGGAGGGGAAAAAAAAGATGATGAGACAATGCTGGGGTTTGCAATGGGGAGTAATAATGGTGAGCCGGACCTATGCAGCCTCTTCCAAAGTGAATAGTGTAGGGTCTTAAAAGTTTGCAGGTGGCCATCTAAGATACAACCATTGGTCTCTATTCACTAAAAGAGTAAGAAGGTAACCAAAATCTCAGAGAAGAAACAAGTCTACAAGCCTGATAGCCTACATGAGCCATGACCTCATCTATTCTGAAACCAGAAGAACTAGATGGTGCCTGGCTACCACCACTGACCATTCTAACTGGGGTCACAATAGATGGTCTCAGACAGAATGCAGAACAGAACTCAAATTCCTAAAAACAACCAGACTAACTGGACCAGTTGAGACCAGAGGACTCCCTGAGACTCATTCGGAGACACTTTTTAAATCTTGAACTGAAATTATCCCTTAAATCACCTTTTAGTGAAGTAGCGGAGTAGCACACAAAATAAAGGCTATTACTGATAAAAATGTTGCTCTACTAAAAAAAACTATCAGTATGAGACCAAAAGGTTGACATTTACTC